ATTGTAGGTGGAATCGATATTTAAGACACTTTACACCCTTTGTAAAAGTAAAATGTTCTCATAATTAAAGCAAAGTGATTTCCTTTACTTATTATGTCTACATAGGAGTCCTATTTCTCCATTTCTTTTTCCAAGAATATAAAAAATAATATTTTACAATAAATATTAATAAACTTTATTAGTAACTTGCTACAAATAAGTATTAGCAATACTTAAATATTACTCTTAGAATTCAAAGAACCTAGAGGTCTGAAATAACCTAACCTACCGCAAAGTAGCACTCTATAATACCCCTGAATAATATCAGCACAGCTCCTTTTCAATTCCACCAGAAACCCACTTCTTCACTAGATAACTCTTCCCCTATTGAACCTCTCTGCTTGCTTAAAGATGTTCAGTAGCCATCTGCTTCCCCAAAACACTCACTGAGTCCTCCATGTTACCTCGAATTTAGGATCTTTCCAACTTGTTCTGAAATTCTTGCACAGAGTCAGACCCCCACTGGAGAAGCAGCGGCCCACGAGATGTGTATATATTCGCAAGAAAGGCTGGAATAAAGCAAAGCGTGGGTATATCCCGAAGAATATCACCTGACCTGTCCTACAAAGGTCTCCCAGGCCGCAGTGCACCCTGGGTAGGGTCCAGCCCTCTAGCCTGTAGGTGCAGATCTGATTTTACAAAACCCCAGAACTGAGTGGGCCGAAGAAGCTGACCTGTGTCCAAAAAACTGCACAGAAATTCAGAACCAATTAATTCACTCAAACAAAACATACTACTTTGTGCTCGCTTTGGCAGCACATATACAAAACATACTACTGCTGTCGAACTGATAAGGTGCTCAGGTGGGCTGCCGGCGCCATTCCCAATGTGTAAGCTACATAGAAGTCAGCTTATTTTCAGACTGTCTTGGGAGCAGAGCAAGAGAACAAAAGAAGTGGTTTCACAGCGTCACACACTGAGAGTCTAGCGCATCCATCTCTGCACCGAGCTCTGGGTTTACTGGCTCAGGGGGGCTTCCCAGGGCACCCTGACAACACTGGGAGGTAGCGTTGACTTGCCTTTTGGAAGCTTCTTTTCCTGAGCTGTAACCCTTGTCCAAGGTCAGTGTTCTTTGTTCAGACATACGGATAGTCCCGTTTTACACTGGCACGGCTCTACTTTGGTCTGCACTGTGTTGCTTTGGTAGGTTCTCTGAATGACATCTTATCCCAAGCTTTGGGAGAGAAAAATCAGGACTAACAGCAAACATACACAGACATGCACACACAACCTGCCCTCGCCCTACTGGTTTAGCCCCTGAAATGCTGTGCCTGGCTCTGCCCACTCGCCTTGCTTGACTTGTGAGCAGGTGAGCCCTTGGTGACGGTGATTGCCACGCCCTCTTTCTATGGCCCCTCCTGTCTCTTCCCCTGTAAGCACCGGGACAGAAACAATAGGTATAGCTGTGCTGTAGAGCCCCCTCTCCAGCCCCTCCCCCCAGCTTCTGTAATTCTTGACTGGAGTATTGACTAGCAATGGGCTAGTCAACTCAGATTATACTAGAAATTGTTTCCTAAAAGGGTCAGGATATCTTTTTTTAAAATATATTTTCATTGATTTCAAAGAGAAAGGAGAGGGAGAGAGAGATAGAAACCTCAGTGATGAGAGAGAATCATTGATCAGTTGCCTCCCGCACACCCCCTATTGGGGATGGAGCCCACAACCAAGGCATGTGCTCTGGGGATCAAACAGTGACCTCCTGGTTCATAGGACGACAACCACTAAGCCATGTCCCAGGCTAGAGTCGGGATCTTTTAGAACAAACCATTTGTAAACATTTAAATAGAAAATTAGTCAAGGACTTTAAACAAAGACAGGAAGAGTTTCTACCATTATCACTCTCTCTCTTAGAGGAAAGAGCATGCCCCTTACATTAAATCTCCTTTTATATGGAGGACAGAGAAATTGATGTCAAAATCATCAGCCCCTGGAGGGAACATACCATACAGACTTCCAGAGCATCATTTATATGATTTTAAAGCTCTCAATGCTTTATTATTGCTTGAATACCTATGCATAAACATCAGAATTACAAATACAATGGTCCACACACATATTCGGTTGGAATATTAAGTTTCTGTGTCTCTATTTTTCTTAATATACTTAAATTTCATTCCTAAAATATGTCTGTCGCATTACTAGGAGTGGTTATATATTCAGGTTTTCAATCAGCCGGTATACTTGGTTGGATTGACTATAAATTTGTTGACATATATTGATGTTTCCTCATTTTCTTGCCCAGGGATCATTTCTTCTACTCATTTATTTTCAATCTCCCTACTTTCGTGTTCGACAGAATCCCACAAATAGAGCGCTCTGAGCTCATGAGGGATGGTGTAAACTATTTAGCGGATTTGATGATGGATACGCTTCCCCTCCCAGGTGATCGCCCTGGCTGGGTAATGAACTTTGTAAAAAGATGCAGCTTTTACCACAGCGAGGCAACAGATTCACTCCCACAAGTTCCTGTTTTGCCCTCGGTCTTCAGCTCATAATGGTGAATATGGTACAAATCCAGAAACAAACAGTGTGGGGTGAGGGACAGAGTTAAAAATACAATAGCCTTAAAAACAGATTTTCAGTTAAGGAAATTCTTGGTCTTCTCTTACAACTGACAGAAAGACAAATAGCCCCAATAAAGAACTCGGGGGCTGAAATCCCGGCCCCCAGCCGGCAGGTAGGGAAGCTGCAGAAAAGGCTCCCGCGTGCAGGTGTGTGGAAGCACTGGAGGGTGGCTAACGAACCCTAAATAGAAGTGCTTAATAGTTTGCTGTGGGGAAAGATCCAGAATTACGAGGGGAAATCAGTGCTGGTTCATTACATCAGCAGTGGGGCCAGCAAACCCCACTGCTAGATCGTCTTTAAGCAGCAGGTGCCTGGTTTGACTCGAGCTTGCAGCCCCCGGGTTGCGGCACAAAATGAGCCAAGTCGGCTGCTCTGTGGGTTCATGCGTGATCACAAGGTGCATCTAAACACCCTGGTTGCCCTACTTCCATTTCGGTCACGTGGCCCCTATTGGATATTTCACTCAACATTCATCCATTTCGGTTTGGTGCTTGCTTACTGTAGCTGCAATTGGTTGCCCAAAACACCATGATGCAAAATTCCAAAACAGTTTGGAAGAATGGGAGAAACCAAAAAAAAAAAAAGAAAAGAAAATTCTGCTTGTGCTTAGTCTTTCCGTGGAAGTGTTTCCTTCAGTTTAATGGCAAATATCATGGTAGGAATATGACAGCGCCAACGAAAGGTCACCTGTACAGGTAGGAGTCGCAGACACAGACACCTGGGTGACTCAGCTGCCACCTCAGTCTCCCCAGCATCCTCTTCAGAGATCCTTTATGAATGTGGATCTGTAATTAGAAATATTGCCCCTCATACATTGTTATGTATGTAAATATTTCTACACAAGAAAGCACTTCACTTATTTAACAATTTATTTCAAACTTTAATGTTTTGCAGTGGACACCTAGATCTTAAAATGTATAGATATTTCACAGCTTTGCATAAACATAAAAAATACATTTGTCTGATTCACTAATAATGAAGGTATGTTTTTTTCTCCTGATGATTAGAAAAATCATCCATGAATGTCAGTAAAAATGATAAGAACACACTATAATAAAAAATTATATGTGGAAATAATCATCTATTTCATACGCATCGTAATTCATTCTCAATCACCCGTTACCGCTGACCAGGTACTGTGGTGTTGAAGGGTAGTTTAGATTGATGTTAAGGAAGCTGCATTGCCTTTGTGTTTGGGCAAGAATTCTAAAGTATGTCAGGACTCAGGTCATAGAAAAGACTCAAAGCAGGCAAAACTTTATATTCTAAAATGAAAATATAAGGAATCAAAAGACTGCTTACAGATGACATGGCAAATATGAAGCAGAAGTATTTGGATTAACAAAAGTCAGAAAAATATTTTAATATCTCTAGGAAAGTATGAGAAAACAAAACTTCCTAATGACAGCCCTAACCGGTTTTGCTCAGTGGATAGAGTGTTGGCCTGCGGACTGAAGGGTCCCAGGTTCGATTCTGGTCAAGGGCATGTACCTTAGTACCTTGGTTGCAGGCACATCCCCAGTAGGAGGTGTGCAGGAGGCAGCTGATCGATGTTTCTCTCTCGTCAATGTTTCTAACTCTATCCCTCTCCCTTCCTCTCTGTAAAAAATCAATAAAGTATATATTTTTTAAAAACTTCCTAATGACAAAAGAGAGGGTTTATTTTAAAACACATAATCTTTTTTACTTTATCACAAGTTTAAATTTCACGTAACATTGTTAGCATGGGCCAAATGTTATGCATTACACACATTTACAGCATTGGGTATGTTCTGTGTTAGTATCTACATAAGCGATTATGAAATAACGTTTGCTCTTTCAATAGCTTTACTCTGGCAATAAGAAAATGTATGGGTGCTAGTAAAATTCATGTTCACAGTCGATGAAAAAAGCCTGAAAGAAAACATTTGTTGAAATTTGCATTCAGTTTTGGAAAACATCTGCTTAACCACTGAACGCAGCCATATTTTAACTTTTAAGCTCCCACATTGAGAAAGTATCAAGGTACTGCAGCAGTTTTCTTTGAGGGACATTATGCTGGGCTTTGATATTCAAAAACTAGGCTGTTTCTTCTTGGATTATTTTATGATAAATGTACAGTCTCTACACAAAAACATTAAGGCTGTCTGCCAATGCATGGACACATTACTGGCTGCTGAAGATGTAGGAAACTGCATGAAAGCATGAAAAGCATGGGGTGATTCTGCAGCTCCCTCTCTAAACACAATTGTAGAGACGTCTGTCTTTCAATTCTCCCTTTCTTCTGAGGCGTGGCCTTTTAGTTCCTGCCCTTTTGAATACTTTTACCTACTGTAACTTTGCTTCTTAGTGTCTGGTTGATCTTACCGGGCTCAGAAACGTATTGACAGGGCGCTTGCTTTTATCTGTGTCCACAGAGAATGCTAACAAATTGGAAGAAAGCGCCAGAGAACACCACATCCCCTGCCCGGAACATTACAACGGCTTCTGCAAGCACGGGAAGTGCGAACACTCCATCAACACGCAGGAGCCGTCCTGCAGGTAACGCTTCGTCGTTGACCTCTGAGATTATCACGTAGACACGTAGACACCCAGTGCTGGACTGGAACAGGGACCGGGATGCCATTCTGCCCGAATGGGTGATCAGCAGCCAACCTGGTCTCTGCCTCTCCCACCCACACAGGCCCCCACTGGGAACCCATGCAATGTGTGTGCCTTCCTGCCCCAGGACGACCTCGGGTCTCAGAATAGAGGTCATGGCCCTCGGTTATGCCAGGCACGTTCTTTTCTGTGGCCCTGCTACCCACCAACCTTGTATAGTGAGGTGAGAGCGATCCCTCCACAGACCCAAGCTCAGGTGACACACAAAGAAACCGCTTGTCTGGATTTAGTTAATAAATATACACATCCGCTCGGTATTCACAGAGAGAACATGTTTCTTTCCAAGATGGTAAAGCCAGAGTAAAAACACCAATGCATGTTTATTTAAAGGAATACACAGGTGGCATATGATGAAACAGGTTGTCTATTGATATACAATGAAAGGAATTTCTGGCCGGCCGGTATAGCTCAGTGGTTGAGTGTCGACCTATGAACCAGGAGGTCATGGTTAATTCCAGATCAGGGCACGGGCCTGGGCTGCAGGCTCAATCCCCAGTGTGGGGCATGCAAGAGGTAGCTGATCAATGACTCTTTCTCATCATTGATGTTTCTATCTCTGTCCCTCTCCTTTCTCTCTGAAATAAATAAAAATATATATACTTTTTAAAAGAAAGGAGTTTCTCTCCCTCTGTCTTCCTCTCCTCCTCCTCCTCCTCCCCTCCCCACTCTTCTCAACAACTGTTTCCCCTCCTTGTTCTTTTTCTTCATGTA